CCTCCCCCCCCCCCCGCCTGGGCTTTCAGAGGGAGGGAGGGAGGTGAGGTTTGGATCCCCACAAATTGGATCTTTATTATTTCTTCCTTTGTCTTTGTGTTGGGTTTAGATTGCTAACCTTTAGTTGGTGTTTGGTTGTTTTCTTTGCAGCTGTGACATGAGAAAAGAGCAAAAACAGAAGAAAAAAAAAAAAAGAGCAAAAACAGAAGCAGATGGTAGAGGAGAAATTTAAGTGATTGAGAGTTTTCCAGCTAGATTTGTGTTGCTTTCACCTGATATATATATATATATATATATATATGCTTATAAAAGTTTGCACAGGCATCGCTGCCCAGTCTCTTATGACCCAAATATAATACAGGAGAGCTTGGGGGGGGGGTTTCCATTATTTTACCTAGAGCATCTGTGTGTCTTTCATGGATCATACATGCCGGCAGTTATGTGTCAATTTGCAGAACTGTTCAGGAGATGAGGAGGTGCGTAGTGGAAACCGCACCTGGCAGGTTTTGGTGACACTCTTCCTTTTTAATGACTGGAGCTGGTCTTTTCTTTCCCTGAGTGGCTGCAGATTCCCCTTCGCGTCTGTTTTTAAAAATACTTTTTGTCCCAAACAGCAATATTTTCCTTGGTGGCACTTGGGCTTAAAATCTCCCTTAATTTCACCTGCCAGTTTTCCAATTAGTAGCTGCCCACCTCTAGGGTGAGTAGTTAATGCAGCCTCTAGTTAGCCAGAGGAAATGAATTAAACTAATTGTAAAAATGCAGCTGCAATGAATGGGGCAATATGTTGCCATTGAGCCCACAATATCCATATTCATGCTTACTGACTCCTTGGGTTCTTCAGCATTTAATCAGCATTCTCCCGTTACAGCATTCTTGTTGGGAGGTGGCAGGATGCAGGGCATTTCTTCATTTCCAAAGGCCCAAGCTGTGTTTTTGCTTACATAACGATGTATATTGCAGAAATAGTGTTTTGCCCCCTCAGCCGGGGTGGGTTTTGGCTGCTGACAAACAGCCTTGTTTTTAATTTGTGCTCATCACCTCTGAGGAGCTCTGGAGCTGGTGAGTGGTAGGAGGCGTGGATGCCCAGTGCCAGCATTGTGCGACTCTTGGCCGAGGTTCTAACGCCACACCAAGCTTCAAGTTTGGATGCTGCAACAACCACATCCTGTGGGTTTCCTCTCCACCATCTCTTCGCCCCATAAAATAAGTGCCATTAGATCATAGATGGCTAAGCTGTGGCCTCTGTAGATTGGAGGGACTACAGTTCTATTCACCCACAGCTAGTATGGGTAGGGACAGTGGGAGTTTCAGTCTATCAACATCTTCAAGAAGATGCTAGCCACTCTTGCACGGGACTGTTGGGCCATATAGTAAGCAACATAATAAGAGATTTGCCTTCTCAGTTCCCAGTATTCTGTTTCTGAGCCTTATGGAAGTGCCCAAGTAGGGCTTGCAGACTATTGCCTGATCCTGTTGTTGCTGAGCCTCAAAGCACAGAAATTGCAAAAGGCCTTCATAGACTCAGTGCGCCCTATTTATTTATTTAATTTCTATACCGCTTTATATTTTAAAGAAAAATCTCAAAGCGGTTTACAGCGTATTAAATCAATACAACATAAATAAAACAATCTGAAAGTCAAATATACCATATACAGTCAAAGCAACGTAATTAAAGGAAAACTAAAGTATTATCTTAAAGATTTCAAAATAAAACATTACAAAGGAGGTAAACTACAGAATACATATCTAACATAAAATTAACAAAAAAAAAAATCTTAAAACATTTCAAATGAAAACATTGCTAAGTGAAGTCAAATATAAAATGCACATTTATAACAGCATAATTAACAAGAGAATAAAATATTATCATAAGCATAACACGGCTGTTTGGCAGGCACAAAAAGAGCGCAAAAGAATCCAATAATTGGGATTTGTTGTCAGGCATAGTGATGCCCCTCTGGTCTCCCAGGAGCCTCTTTTGTGGGGCTGGTGAGTCTGGCCAGGTGGAAAGGGCCTTGCAGGGAGCGGCCTTCACACCCACAGCCGGTGATGTTCCTCCTGCCTCACGAGGAGCCTCTTCAGTAGGGCTGGTGAGTGTGGGCCTTGCCTACACATCCAAATCTCTGGGACTTGTTGCAGGTGGTCATAACAACATCATCCCTCATGTTGGCCCCCGCCAACCATTTATCAAAAAACAGATGAATTGAAGAGGTTGCACCCCTGTCTTTTGGGGCTGCTGGGTTCCCATCGAGTTAACCTCCTGTGTCTTCGCATTGCCCTGTTTTAAAGCCACATAGACCTGCTGCCGCCAAAACTTCCTTTGCCAATGAAAATGTTCATAGGTTAAGTATGTGTTGCATGAGAAGCACTTCCTCTTGTCCGGTCAAGAGGGCTGGAGAGGAAAGAGCGTAGCACTGCTTGTGCATTGTTGGGCATTGTCTTTTTCTTCTTTTTGTAGACTGTGGCCTTAGCCTTGGTAACTCTCATATGTAGAACATTCTGAAAAATGCCTCCTTATTCCCAAAACTTAACCAAGGTGCAGGGGCTGGTTTGCTCACATACTACTTCATTTCTCATTATTTGATTACTCACCTCATTGGGTTTCTGAATAGCCTCCACCAGAAACCATGGTGCATGACATGATAAAAGAGCCCACTTGGTGCTGTTTTCGACCTTTGGTGGCCGATTCATGCCCACACATCACCTGCAGTCATCAGTGTGTGGACAGGACATGAGTGTGACAGGCAGACCAGACTTTGGGAGCCTCGTGCTATGCAGGTGGAGACAAGCTTCCCTTTGCGCTTACGTTCTCCTCTTGTCTTTCTCAGCCCCTTTGTGCTTTGCAATATCTTAGATGTTTTTGATTTTGACACTTGTATTAAATATTTTGTGCTCCCTGTTGCATTCCTTGATTAATTGAGGACGACTGACAGATCAATACAAAGCAGTTAATTAAGTTTTACAGATCCGACTCTCCCCCCCCCCCCCGTTCTGACAGGCTGTTCTCCTGGACGCCATAGCGGAGGCCCCCTTTTTATGGAATTGTGAACTCTTCCTGCTCTTTTTCATTATCCTTTCCAAGGTTCACGAGATGAGACATTTGCAGCCTTAAGACTTCCTGCCGAGGTTTAGATTTTGTATTCTTGACATTGAAGCTGTCCTGTTACTGAATCTACTTAATTAGGAACACATTTCGGCTCCATGTCTACTTCTGGAACAGAGCTGGCAGCCTAGCCAGCCACTGGCCCAGGGAAGACAGGAGTTTTTATGTGGCTCCACAAATGGTGTACTGCTTTGAGTTTAGGTTGACCTGGTGTAGCTTTAGCCCTGGAACACAGTACATTTCAAAGGCACTATCTAGTTATGATTCTTAAACATTAGGCAATGTCAAGCAAAAATATCCTAGGGTGTGAGATTCTTCCCAGTTCCAGGTGTTGGGTGGCTGCCTGTTCGTTTTCCTTAACCTGCACATTTAATGACTCAACATGCACTTTGGGGCATTGTGGGTGAATTTGGGGATTAAAAGCTCCAGAGACAACAGCTTCCTTCCTACAGGGCTTTAAAAAAACTCTTCTAACAACTTAAAAAAATTTGGGCTGAGAGATGACTAGGCTAAGATTCTATTGCATAATGCCAAGCAAGCCCACTAACCTGTTGGTTGCCAACCCTGCCTAAATGGCCTCTTTCTGAAGGAGCAACCCTACCTTCACTCTGCTGGAAGGATGCTCTCGTTCTTGCATTTGTGTAGCTCTTTAGCTGGACTGTTTAGCTGGACTGTTCCCTTTTACTGCAACACAAACATGTCTGCAAAGGCCCTGAATGGGAAGCAGAGATGGGGACTTTCCATTTCCACAAGACTTGCACCAGGGATCCTCCTGCCTGGGCTCTGCTCTCAAAGTCTTGTCTTCATGGCGTCCTTTGGAGCACTAGTCACATCTCCTGGCACAGGGGAGAGAAATGTAAAACTGTGCTACTTGTGTAAGGACTTGAGGAATGCAAAAAAAGTGGAGGGTCAGGGAACGGTATAAAAGTCTGCACTTGGATTTTATCTGAATCCCATTTATCTTGTAGCACCATGTCTTGTTACTTAAGTGTTTAGTATTATGTTATCTGTGTTTTAGTTGAATGTTTAATATGTCAGCCCATGGTTACCTCTCTATTTTGAAGGAGGAATTAGCTGGGGAAAGTCTGCCAAAGCCCATCAAAGCAGACAATTCTGCTGCTAAGGGATCAGACCTTGGCATACGACAGCTTTGTATGTTTATATGATGCTAAGCCTGGAATAGTACTTTGAGTTTTCAGGTGTGAGCATCTGATTTCTAGGAGAGCTTTGGTTGACATTCTTGCTGATGTCACTTCCTGTAACTTATTTACATCTGTTCTTTAGTTCCTGGGGCCGCTAAGGGCTGTGGGGCCATATTCCTTTTTTATGCAATTGCTGGTGCCTCTCCTAAGCTCTGGGCTTCAGGTGACACAGGAATTAGTATGATGCTGAGCTTTTCTGCTCAGAGCTGCTTCCATTATCTAGGGTGCTTCCAGATAGAGGCGATATATTGCAAAGAGGTAATTCAGATCTGATGTTTCCATATGTGCAGCTGGCACCCAAGAGTTTGCACATGCCCGGCAAAAGAGGGTTGTGCTCAGGTGAGGAACGTGGGGCTGCAGCGACAGAGGCCGCCAACTGAAATGTCAGCATACACAAGGCATACCGGACCTCCCCCCCCCGGCAAATGCATTGATGTTCTTCCACACCAGCAGTGACTGGATGTATTTCGGGGTTATTTTTACTTACTGAATTTTCTACAATTGAAATGTGAATTGGGGCAGGGGGGAGAGAGTACAGTCTTGTATTTTGATAATGACATCATGCAGACAGTGTGACAAACTTGTGTGCATGAACATCACCATTTCCAGTTAGATTCCATGTGACAATAATCCTAATTGGCTTCCTAACTTTTCTCTCTCAGGCTAAACCAGTTGTTTCTATTTTGTTTCAGAGCTCCAATGCCCTACCTCATAGGAATACACCTAAGCCTGGTGGAGGTAAGTTCTTCTGTTCATCCTTGATTTCCTCTAATGGGTTCTTATCTTGACTTGCATGTTTTTATTTTCTTCATTGTTTTCTTTAAAGCACTTTTACCCTGCTCGTTAGTCAGGGGTGGGGAAACTCCATCCCATGGCACTAATTAGGCCTGCCTGACCATAATTGTCAAGCTACGGTCACTTGCCCCATCAGGTGGGGGGGTGCAGGTGAAGTTGCAGCTGGGCCATAAAGAGTTTGGCACGACTGCCAGTCAGTTGCTAGACGCCATCAGCAAAGCGATTTGCAAGGCACCTTGAAATCCCAACTACAGTGGTACCTAAGAACAGCCCTGTTTACTAACTATTCAGTTTAAGAACTCTACAAAACCAGAAGTAGTGTCCCGGTTTGCGAACTTTACCTTGATCTAAGAACAGAAGCCGAAGGGTGGAAGGCCACCAGTGGTGGGAGACCTCATTAGGGAAAGCGCGCCTCAGTTTAAGAACGGTTTAAGTCTAAGAACAGACTTCCGGAATGGATTAAGTTCATAAACCGAGGTACCACTGTATTAGCTGATTTCCAGGGTTTGAGACAAAATGCAGCACAGGGCTTTCTGCAAGCCTCGAGGATCAGCTGACTGTTGGGGCTTGAAAAGAGCTCTGTGCAGCTGAAATCCCAACAATCAAATTCCGAATTTGCCTGGTGCAGCCGAGGGGCCTGGGGGAAGCTGTTTGTGGCTCCTCCAGCACTTTGAATGCAAGCTGCTACCTGTGAAAAGGAAGAAATGCTCCATTTTTACACAGAAAAAGCAGTTTGTATTTAAAGCTGTTTGAATACAAATGCTTTCACCACAGAAGGGAAAATGCTTTGCTTTTAAGACTATTTCCCCCTCTGCATAAGCTGCAAAGAGGCTCCATGAAACCAACTAGCAGCTGATAGGCGGTTTAAATGAGTCTCTTTGATGGCACACTCCAAGTGCCAATCAGCTGGTTGGCGCTGAAAGCCTGTGTTCAGAAGTTGCTCTATAAGTGATGGTTACAGTGACCACTTTGGAACTCCTTATGATGTCAGGTGATTGACAGGTGTGTGGTTCCACCCACCTATCAGCTGTACCATGTTTGTGGGGGAGACAAGGATCTGGGCCACTGGCGAAGTCCTGTTCCCCATCCCATTCTAGGCCAAAAGCCCCTCAGGGTGGAAATCTGACATTTTATAATTTGAAAAATGCCATGCACATGTGTGGCACTATATAAACCATAACTTTAAAAAATGTTGCCCCTCCACCTACAAACAGTTTGTTTTCCTATTTTTATTTACCAACTACCATAGAATTTCAGCAAAAAGTCTGTGAGACATTTAGTTTCTTACTGAACATTGGTCAGAAAACCAAAAACAGTCAGTGAAAGATTCATAGTTATGGAAATAAACAAATAAACTTAATGGATTGATCTGGTTTCCACTTTCCACAGCAGGAAGAAATTTCACAAGTGCATCCTTACTTAGAGCCATTAAATTTAAAATGTTTTTCCAAGTTGCTACAATCAAAAATGATGGAACGCCCTCCCATCAGATGTCAAAGGAATAAATAACTGTCTGACGTTTAGAAGACACCTGAAGGCAGCCCTGTTTAGGGAAGTTTTTTAATGACTGGTGTTTTAATGTATTTTTAATCTCCTGTTGGAAGCCCCCCAGAGTGACTAGGGAAACCCAGCCAGATGGGCGGGGTATAAGTAAATAATCATAATCATAATTACAATTAATTTTGCTGTTCCTTTACATGACATACCTGCTCTTAGTGGACACTGTGACTATATTTTGTTCTGAATTCTGACAATAATGGTAAAATATGTTTACCTTTTAGCTCCATGTACACCTGGCAATCCACTAAGAAATGTGACAGATACTCTAGCACTTGTACAAAGACTCCCTAATATTCTGAGGAACGTTAATACATGGATTGTGCTCCATCTGGGGGGGGGTGCATTTCACTGAGCTTGTGTAATGGCAACCCTTAGATCTCTCCGTTCCAGGTGCTCAAAATACTGAACAGGAATAACCATAATATTTGGATTTAATGCCATTGATTGACAGGAAGAAATATCAGCACGGTTATTTGGAATAAATCATCTTTCAGATATTGCAGTAATACTATTTTGGTGTTGTCTGGGCTATACAGATAGGGAATTGCAAAACCTAAATTCAGAACTGCAGCAGGGAACTTGTGCTGCCAAAGTAGCATACAACTCTCATCTCATCTCCCCTTCTTCTGTTCTTTGCATAGACTAGACCTGAGGCCTACCTCCTTTATGTTTGTTTGTTTGTTTGTTTGTTTGTTTGTTTGTATTAAAATTTGCATCCTTCCTTGTTCAGCAAAATGTCAGCTCAAGACAGCTTACAGTATCTTAACATAAAAAGATGAATTACATTCAAAAAACAAACTAACAGTAGTAAAAATAGAAAAGTAAAGAAGAGAAAATCCAGAACAATATTAACTAAGGAATGCCTGCTGAAATAATAGTTTTTAATTCCTGCTTTAAAACTATCCTTGAATCCACTAACAATTTTAGGATTGCTTGGGATGCGGAAAACATAATCAGAAGGCAATGAGTTGGGAAACAGAGCACCAATGGAATCATTTTCTGGCCCTGACTTTAATGGTGTAGAGTGTTGCTTGAATGCTCTTTCTCTGTCCCACGGGGGTGACTTAAAAGTAAGGAATGTCACGCAGACTCCATAACATGCAACCCTCCCCCTCCCCAACTGTTCTTGCAATTCACAGTATTTATTTGCGATTCTTTCCTTCCCCATTTTCAGTGATGGAAATCACCTTTCCCAAGCCACATTTGTGAGTCTTTACAGATACTTGTACATAGCATGTAGTCCCCTCACCCACCTCCATGTTTTAGATCAGAGTACTTAGCTGTGTGTAGGACTTGAGCACACTGTGCTAAATGAATGTGTTGCTGTGGTAAATCTAGAGAGCAGCAGCTTCAGTCTCCCATGTTCGGTGTGTGTGCTGATCACTAGGCATCCTGCCATTCAGTTAGCTTAAAAAGGTAAAGGGACCAATGACCATTAGGTCCAGTCGTGACCGACTCTGGGGTTGCGGCGCTCATCTCGCTTTATTGGCCGAGGGAGCCGGTGTACACCTTCCGGGTCATGTGGCCACCATGACTAAGCCGCTTCTGGCGAACCAGAGCAGCGCATGGAAACGCCGTTTACCTTCCCGCTGGAGCGGTATCTATTTATCTACTTGCACTGGTGTGCTTTCAAACTGCTAGGTTGGCAGGAGCAGGGACCGAGCAATGGGAGCTCACCCTGTCATTGCGGGGATTCGAACCGGCGACCTTCTGATCAGCAAGTTCTAGGCTCTGTGTCCCAGTTAGCTTACAGTGAGGTAAAACTCTCTCACTGTCCAAGTGGTGGACTTCAAAGCAACGTGTCTGCTTAACCTTCTCCAAAGTTTGCTGCTTTAGATGCAGGCTATCGCTAGTGGTTCTCTTGCCCTCTCTCTGCTGAGTTCGAAGAGGCATTCATAGGCAAATTTTACACAGTAAACCAAGCCATGGTTCAAAGCAAATGCATGGGCTCCCGGAGAGGAAATTGTTGCTTCTTTGCTCTTTCTCTGGTCCTGCTGTTGTGCCACTGAGGGCATCTGAACTGAGGTTTGTGATTTGTCTTGTTCCAGGCAAACTGCGAACCTGCAGCCAAGTCTAGACCTATGGCTTACTGTTCAAACTTAGTGGTTTGAACAACACACTAAGCTAGACTATGGCTTAGGTCACTGTGGCACAGCAGCAGGAGGACCATGAGCCCATACATTCACACTAAACCAAGGTTTGGCTTAGCATTACATGAGAACTGGTCCATAGTTTCCCAAGCTTCCTTTTGTTTTGTTTTACAAAAGTTCATCAAGTGGTGTCCAACCTGTTTCAGGGCTGTTCTTTCATGATAAGAACATGAGCATGGTGGTGTTTCACATGAGCCCTGAAGCTAAATAAATAAATAAAAACCAGCAGCCAACAGCAGCCAATCAGATTTCCCCTTAGAAGCTCCCCAGCAAGACAATGTGAAGAGACCCACCCCACCCCCCATCTGGTGATTAGAGAGGGGGGGAGAGGGGGGCACTTCTAAACAAGGAGACTGCATGCCTAGTTGCCATGGTGGGAATGTATTCTCTTTGTGTTCATCTAATATTTTTTTAAACTCCATGTTGTGGCATTGCTTAGGGACAGGCCATAGTTCAGAGAAGAGCATATGCTCTGTCTGGAGACGATCCAGGCTTGGATCCCCAGTACAGTGGTGCCTCGCAAGACGAAAATAATCCGTTCCGCGAGTCTCTTCGTCTAGCGGTTTTTTCGTCTTGCAAAGCAACCCTGTTAGCGGCTTAGCGGATTAGCGCTATTAGCGGCTTAGCGGCTATTAAAGGCTTAGCGGTTTAGCGGCTAAAAGGCTATTAGCGGCTTAGCGGCTTACAAAAAAGGGGGGGAGTGGAAAAAAATCGCAAGCCCATAGGGAAAATCGTCTTGCGAAGCAACTCAAAAACGGAAAACCCTTTCGTCTAGCGGGTTTTTCGTCTTGCGAGGCATCCGTCTTGCGGGGCACCACTGTATCTCCAGATCAAAAGGATCAGGTGGCAAGTGGCAGAGAAGACACCTCACTACCTAAAATCCTGGAGAGCTTCTGCCAGTCAGACCTGACAGTAGTTGGCCAGATGAACAAATAGTTTGACTTGGCATAAAGCACGTTCCTGGGCTCAGTGGCCATGGCAAATCCCGTGGCCATTTAGGTCAGTGATTTGCGTGAAGCACCGCAATCTTCTCCATTTCCACAACTTTTTTCAAAAGAGTCCTTTTACTTTCACAGAGTGGAACAGTTCCTCTCTCTTCACTCTGCATGGTTGACAATTTTATAAACTATCTCATAAAAGTTTGGTGTTCCATGTAACTCGTAGTTGAGTTGTTTTGCTTACTGTATTCTGCTTTCTGTGCTTATTGGTAATACTGCTCTGAATCTGAGAACT